CGGGCCAGAATATGGTTGACAACATAGTCGTGGCGCAGGAGCTTATCCATTCAATGAGACTTAACAAAGGCGTAAAGGGTCACATGGTCATCAAAGTCGACCTTGAAAAGGCTTATGACTACCTAAGGTGAGACTTCATTGAAGAAACACTCAGGCTAGTCGGGTTCCCTGATATCATGAATAAAGCTATCATGGTCTCTGTGCGGTCGGCGTCCATGAACATACTGTGAATGGGACGATAGGGGAATAATTCTTTCCTACTCGAGGAGTTCGTCAGGGAGATCCCATCTCTCCCTATCTCTTTGTTTTGTGCATGGAGCGACTTGCCCAAATCATTGATAAAGCTGTTGAGGACAAGCATTGGAAGCCGATTTCCGTTGGGTGGGGCGTTGTCTCTGTCCCTTTAATGTTTGCAGATGACCTTCTGCTCTTTGTAGAGGCTTCAGACGATCAGGCCTTTGTTCTCCGGCGGATACTCAACTACTTTTGTCATATATCGGGACTCAAAGTTAGCGAAGCCAAGACCCAAGTCTTTTTCTCGAAGAATGTGAACCTTGAGGCTCAAAACCGTCTAGCGGGTACTCTTAACTTCAGTTGGACGGATGATCTGGGGAAGTACCTAGGAGTCCCTGTCTTGCACGGCCGAGTTACGTCCTCTACATATGCGCATATTGTAGACAAGGTAGAAGCGAAGCTAGCCGGCTGGCGCATGTGGTCCCTCTCTCTCGCCGGGTGGGTGACTCTCACCCAGGCTGTTTTAAATTCGTTGCCATATTACTCCATGCAATCCGTGCTCTTGCCAAGTGCGCTCACCGAAGGATTTGAGGGTCGTAGTCGAGCATTTGTATGGGGTGGCTCGAACGAGAGGAAGAAATTTCCTTTGGTTGCTTGGCACGATCTTTGTAAGTCGAAAGACGAGGGTGGATTGGGTCTCAAGGACTTGCGAAGAATGAATTTCGCCTTCCTCATGAAACTAGGCTGGGGTCTGATTACGAAGTGGGATGCTCTTTGGGCGAGAGTGTTAACTGCCAAGTACGATATCACCCCCTCCAATGGTCTTGGCACCTCGCGTTGCAAACGTGGCTCGGCTCTTATGAGAGCTTTAGCTAAGGTGTGGCCGAATATTGTCCAACAGACTCGGTGGAGCTTGGGGGATGGTGCCACTGTTTGATTTTGGACTGATACTTGGCGAGGCACGACTAGACCGCTCCTAAACCATACAACCCGCAGACCGGACGAAAGGTGCATCAACTTCACAGTAGCAGACTTTGTCGACGAGAGAGGAGAATGGAAGTGGTCTGCTTTTCATGGTATACTATCGTCGTCAATCATTTTGTGCATAGCTGGTACCCTCCATCACATAACGGTGTTTCTCCACAAAAACGGCTTACCAGGCACTCGATTCACCGGAGCGAGATCCGAACAGGCTGCTGTGGAAAGTGGTGTGGCGCACATCGGCGCCACAACGGGTCCGCACCTTCTTGTGGCTGACGGCTAAGGAGCGTTTATTGACTAACTCAGAACGAGTTAGGAGGCACGTCGCGAGCTTGGACTTGTGCGAGGAATGTGGAGCTATGGAGTCGACCCTTAACGTCTTGCGAGATTGCCCCAACACATCGCGGCTGTGGACCCTTTTGATTCCGGTAGGTGAGCTACCTGAATTTTTCACACAACCTCTTCGATCTTGGATGCTCAGGAACCTATCGATCGGTGGGCTAGGGCTGTATAAAGATTGGAGCAGGCTGTTTGCATTTATGACGTGGTCCTCGTGGAAATGGCGTAACGGTCGTCTCTTTAAATCCCGTTCTACGTCATGCGAATGTCCAAGGCTGGAGGTCCTGTCACTTACAGAGTTGTATGCACGAGCTTGTGAAGCTTATAAGAAGGTCGGAGCTGACAGGTATATTGTACGAATGATCCATTGGATTCCACCGGATCCGGGCTGGGTCAAAGTTAATACGAATGGTTCCTTTGATAGAAGCTCTGGGCTCAGTGGAGCGGGTGGGCTATTGCGCGATGAGTTTGGAAAGTGGATAGAGGGATTCATCATGAATATAGGCTCCAACACCATCACGGGAGCCAGACTTTGGGGCATATTTCAGGGGCTACAGATGGCTTGGGACCGAGGCTTCCGTCAGGTGATAGCGGAGACCGATAGCCAATGTGTGACCAACATGATTTGTGGGCCAGGCCAGAGCTTCGGGGTGCATGATGCTATAGTCCGTGCTATCAGGGAGTTACTTCATAGAGACTGGCATACACGTATCCAACATGTGCATCGTGAGGCGAATTATGCGGCGGATCATTTGGCAGGGCTCGCGGCTTCATCAACTCTGGGCGTGCTACGGATTTCGACACCTCCCCCGGGTATAGGTGCATGGATTGATCATGATATTAACGGGGTGTCCTACCCCCGCCGAGTGTTAGCTTAGCTTTCTAGGCCCCTGGCCTTTTTATTTTGTACCGAAAAAAAAAAAAAAAAATGTACCACACTATAAATTAAGGGAATACTACAGTCCCATTAACTGTTACAAATCTCGGAAGAATATTTCCGTGATGGACCGTAGAATCTCCCAATAAATTAAATGTATATTATTTTTATTAACATTTTGTTATACAATGTGTGTTTGAATTACAACGGGAACCTATGAACTGACTGAAGTGTTCAGTTCGTACAAGAAGAACTAAAAGAAGAAATAAAAAAATACAACTGGAATGCGGACAGATTAGAGCCGAGGCGATTGAAATCTTTCCGCAAGACAAATACGCCCCGTATAGTGCTGACGGGTCTATGCGTAATGCCCCCAAAGATACAACGGCTAAACACTCGGAAGCTGTAGCACACCAGCCTTCAGAGTTCCGGCGAAAGGGACTGAAGTCGAGAACTGAGCACTTTTGATATGATGCGTGAGGCTTTGATAGTATGCAGAAGCATGCAATGTTGTGTATTTTCCTCTGCAATTCTAAGTCCAATTTATAGGACTTCCACCTTGAGGGAGAACCAAGAGTTACATCAGCCACTAAAGGCTGAGATAAATAGGCACCATTAACCTGAAAACGTTTCAGGTATTACTCCACCATTAACCTGGTGTTACTACACTTTAACCAGACATTAACACCCCATATGAAAGGTCATGTGTTATATTTCACATGAAAGGTCATGTGTCCAGATCCATTGTACCTGGAGAGGTC